GAGTAATGCACTAAGAGCAATTCAAAGGGAGCAGAACCTGGCTGCTGCTCTTCTGGTGGGCTTTTTGTGTCCAAACGCTGTCTCACACCATCTCAAGAGAAGCCACTCCAAAAAAAAAAAGGGTGTCTGAATGACACTGAGAGAGCTCCACTCATACAGAGTCAATAATTCCACATTTATTTTGCCAAGGAGCCCAAATAGTTGGGGTGGGGATCCAGGCTGGGTGGGAGAGTTCCTCAGAGGGACATCAGCATTTAAAACTCGTGATCAATGCACCAGGAATGGTGGCAAGAAAGTAAAAAAAAAGCAGAAGAACCTGAAATATCATCTCAGAGAAGGTGTGAATTTTCACCGCAGTGCTAAAAAGCCTGGATTTATTTTTTCCCCTTTAGGATAGGGAAAGGCAGTAAGCTGAAGGAGAAGGAAGGCTCTTTCTGATGCAGCAGCAGAGTGTGCAGTAAAACATGTATTTGTTCAGAGATGTAACTTACTTCTGTAACAGAAGAATAGAGTGAGGTTGCTGGTTTATCATTATTTTATATTTGTTTTCTTCTTTTTCACCTCCATGAGCTCACAGTGTTTCTTTCATCCTGGAGCTGTCTCCGATGGCATTTCTATATTTCATTTAGCATCCCTATAAATATGTAAATATAAGATCTGTATGTGTAAACACACACACACATAAATAAAACGGTAATGATGCGTACATCTATGTTTGTGTGTATATAAAAGCTAAATTACCTCCAATTTATCCAGTGTCCTTTATTTCTTCTATGCATCCTAAGCCAAGCACTGTGTTGCTAAGTGCACACGGTCTTCATATTTATATGAGAATGGCACCTAGGAGGGACAGATATAGGACTAAAAAGCATCTCTGATGGAAAAGTAAGTGCAAATTCCTTAATTTCTTTCCATGTGCCTCCCAGAGCCAGAGGGGAGGGCCTGCACACTCTTCACCCTGCTGTGCCCATGAGGTTTGTGCCCCTGGAGCCAGGCACTCTGTTCCACCCAGCACCAAATCTGGAATAGGGGTTGATTATATCACCATAGAACCATTTGAGTTGGAAGGGATCCTTAGAGACCATCTGGTCCAACCCCCCCTGCAGTGCACAGGGACACCCACAGCTCCATCAGTGCTCAGAGCCCCATCCAGCCTGAGCTTGGCTGTCTGCAGGGATGGGGCACCACCACCTCTCTGAGCATCTCTGTTCTCTCGGGGACGGCTGGCACCGCATCCCGCGACGCTGCTCCATGGCAGGAGCTGCTAACAGGCTGAGAGGTGCCTGTGTTCTGCTCGCCGCACTCCCAGCACAGCACCCCGCGTACCGCCCCACTCTCCATACGGGCGCAATCGATCCCCGTTCAAGTTGAACTCCCGCTGATCGCTAGAAAACACCGCGGGTGGAACGAATTCAAGGAAGTGGGAAACCATGGGGTGGATGTCAGCCTAATGCGTCCGCTGGGAAGCCGAGGAGCGCGGTGCGGTGCGGGGCGGTGCGGAGCGGCTGCTGCTCGGCGGAGCCGCCTGAGAGCGCACGGAGCTGCGGCTGCGGCACTGCGAGAGCTCCCCCTGCAGAGACCGAACTGAGCGGCCTCGCGATTCGAGAGCTGCTGACCTCCCGGGGCACGGAGCTGCCGACGTTGCCCTTCTCGGGGTTCTGAAGCGCGGTTGGATGACGGCGAAACGGCCGAACTCTGCTGTCCAACTCTCGGTTCGATCGCCGGGAGGTGAAGCGCCCCGAGGTCTCTGCGCAGATGGTCTCTCTGAAAGGATGGATGCCCGCGGAGGGTTCTGCCGGTGATGCAGCCCTCATTCACCCCTTATTAGCACCGTCGCAGAGGGGCTCAGAGCGCGGGCAGCACCCGCAGGCACAGCTCCCTTCCCTCTGCGCCCGCGGGGGTTCAGAGGTTTCCCCGTGCTTTGCCGGGATCGGAGCCACCAACAGGAGGTGGTTGTGGATGTTACCCCACGGGTCCTCTGCACAGAGCCCTGGCTGCTGGGACTCAGTGGGACTCCCCAGACCTCCTGCTTGTCCCTGGGCTCCTCTTAGCTGTGGTAGGAAGGACAGAGGGGTGAAATGTCAGTGCTGGCAGGGCAGGAGCCCTGGCTGGCAGGGTATGGGCTCGGGAGACCCTGGGTTGACTGCTTATAAAGCACTGAACTCCATGCCAGTGGGATCAGGCAAGCAGAGCCCTGCCTGTGGAACCAGCATGGGGGAAGAAGACCAACAGCAGGAACAGCCTTGTCTGGCTGCCAACATCCACCCAGTCCCCTGCAACAAGGGAGATCAGCCTGGAGACCCGGGGACATTGCTGAGCTCCCACTCCAGCCTGGCACAGGGCTGCTCCAATTTGCCCATCCATGTCTGGGCCCATTTTCCAGAGAGCTCCTGCAGCTCACAGCCAGCCGGCCCATATCACACAGTGGGACAGTCACCCATCACAACACTGCAGGATGCTGCTGCTGCTCCAGAATTCCCAGCATTTGCCATCCACTCTGTGTTGTCCCAGGGTGGACATCCTCAGTGGGGCCATTTGCACCCCCAGCCCTCCGCTCCCCATCACCCCTCCCTGCCTGCCACGTGCTGAAGAACAGCCAGGACAGCTTCCCAGGCTCCTCCACCTCATTCCTCAATCCACCACCCAATATTTCATCACCCACCTCAGTGAAATGTATATTTCCCTTTTAAGAGCTCTCCTAGAATAATATATTTTTTTATTATCGTGACAGTGAGGGCTACCGTTGCCATGGTTACGTGCCCTTTGCTAGAGCAAGAGCTTTCTGGGTGTTTGAAATTCTGGTATTTCTCCTGACCTAAGAGGTTTGATTCTTTTTTAATTTGGTATTTATTCCCATTATCATCATTTGAAACAACAGGTCATTTATATTGCATATGGATATGTCACCACCACGGTGAAGGGCTCAGAAATAAGCTTCTGCTGTGAAAAGGAACTTTTTTTTTTTTTTTTCTTTTTTTTTGTAGGGGGAGATCTATTTTGCAGCATTGATAATACACAGTACAACAAAAACACAAAAACTCTGATAGGATCTCAGCTGTATCGCTCCACATTACACATCAAATCCCATTCCTGGCAGAAGAGCAAACCTCTGCCTTCTGGCTGTCAGCTCAACTGTTCTCAGCTCCCCAGCCTCCTGAGTCCTGATCTGATCTAGAACACATAGAGAGAAGTTAAATGCATATATTAAATAGAGATAGACAGATATACAGACAGACGGATGGATGGATGGATGGACTGAGAGATGGATGGACAGATGGATGGTTAGATAGACAGATACATAGATGGATAGGTAGACATAGACAGACAGATGGATAGATAGATGAAAAGATAGATAGGTATACAGACAGATACATAGAAAGATGGATAAAGAGATAGACAGACAGATAGATTGCTTGATAGACATCGATAGGAAGATAGATTGACTGATAGATGGATAGATAGTGGATACTTAGATGATAGATGGATAGACTGATAGATGATAGATAGATAAATAAGTTGTAGAGCTGGGATAAAAACATCTGGATTTCCTTGGCCTTTTGATGACTTTTCCCCTGTTGTTTTAATGGCAGCATCCATACCAGCTGCTTCATTCTGGGGTGAGGAGGACAGAGGTGTTACCTGTGGGCTTGGTTCCTTCTGTGTCACCTGGGCCAGACATGCTGCATAATCCCCATTTGCTTTCCTTTGTTTTAACTGAAAACCCTGACATAAGGGGGAGGTTGGAGCATGGGGGGTGTAGAAAGGGGCTCAGCACACACTGTGTGCTCAGCACTCCAGCAAGAATGGCTGATAAACACAAGAGCTCCAGCACAAACAGCAGGCAGTGCGATGGGATGGGATGGGATGGGATGGGATGGGATGGGATGGGATGGGATGGGATGG